TCGGGAAAAGCTGGAAGTGGCGCTGTGGCTCAAGCGGTAGAGCGCTAGCCTTGAGCTGAAGAGCTGAGGGACAGCGCCCAGGCCCAGAGTTTAGGCCCCACGACCGACCAAAAAAATATATATTTTTTTGGGGGGGGGTCCGGTATATACATATATTTTTTTGGTCGGTCATGGGGTCTGAACTCTGGGCCTGGGTGCTGTCCCTGTGCTCTTCATCTCAAGGTGAACACTCTACCGCTTGAGCCACAGCGCCAAGGTTTCAGTCATGAGCTGCTGACATCCAGCTAACTGACTTTGCTTCTTCTTCTTCCTCCCCTCCTCCTCCTCCTCCTCCTCCTCCTCCTCCTTCTTCTTCTTCTTCTTCTTTTTTTGCCAGTCCTCCTGGGGCTTTAACTCAGGGCCTGGGCACTGTTCCTGAGCTTCTTTTGCTCAAGACTAGCATTCTACCACTTGAGCCACAGCTCCATTTCTGGCTTTTTCTGTTTCTGTGGTACTAAGGAATTGAACCCAGGGCTTCATGCATGCTAGACAAGCACTCTACCACCCAGCCTCTGTTTTTTTTACTTTTTTTATGCCAGTGCTAAGGGCTTGAACTAGAGCCTTGGGTGCTGTCCCTTAGCATTTTTGCTCAAGGCTGGCATTCATCACTTGAGCCAAACCTTCATTTCTGGCTTTTTCTTCTTTCTTTTTGGTTCAAGACCGGGACTCAAACTCAGTAACTGACACTTTCGCTCATTGGCTGATGCTGAACCATATCTCCTAACCCTACTTCTAGTTTTTTCCAATATCATCATCTTTATTAAATTTAGTGGAAGAATGACAATATGTTGGAAATGACCTGTATAACTTGGGGGAGGGGATTGGAGGGAGGGAAAGTAGGAGAAAAATGAGGGAAGGGGTAACAAGTTTGACAAGAAATGTACTTATTACCTTACTTAGGTAATCTCTCTGTACATCACCTTGACAATTAAAACAGAAAAGAAGAAAATAGGGTAAGAAAACTTAGCCAAAGCATTACATCAGCAGAAGACATGAGTAGTGTAGATACACACATGGTACTTCCAGTTTTTTGATAGCTAGTTGGAGATGAAAGTCTCGTGCAGCCAGGTGCCAGTGTCTCATGCCTGTAATCCTAGCTACTCAGGAGGCTGAGATCTGAGGATTGCGGTTCAAAGCCAGCCCGGGCAGGAAACTCCATGAAACTCTTATCTCCAATAAACCACTAGAAAACTAGAAGTGGTGCTGTGGCTCAAGCGGTAGAGCGCTCGCCTTGAGCTGAAGAGCACAGGGACAGCGACCAAGACCAGAGTTCAAACCCCACGACCTACAAAAAAAAAAAAAAAAGTCTCATGCACTTTCCTGCCTTGGGCTGGCTTTAAACCATGATCCTCAGATTTCAACCTTCTGAGTAGCTCATAAGCATGAGCTCTAGGCATCTGGCTTACACCTAACTTCTGTAACCATCAAGGGTTTGTTTGTTGTAGGCCCCAAAGTCTGGATCCTAGTCTGTGAAGCCCCACTCCCCCGGGGTAGACTTGGGCCTGGCCTACCCCTCTCTTCCCTACTTGAGCCAAGACTGGCCCAATGCCTTTTCATCAACCAGCACCAGGCTGTTAGGACTCACTTCTATCCATGTACATGGGAGATACCCTCAGCTTCTCTGCATGGCAGGCCTCTCATATCCTGTTGTGCATACCTCTGTCCCGGGATTTTGCACTTAGGATGGGACAGATTATGCCACACACATGTAAACAGCCATACTGTGTGATTGCATGGGTAAAGCCTGGGCTGAATGTGTTTGTGACCCTGGTACCTGAGGTGCTCTGTGACACACATGCTTATGAGCTATGTACCTTACCATGCGCCTCACTGAGCTGTACACCTGTTTGAATTTATGCTTTTATTTGGGTGGTGTGCTTTTTTTTGTTGCTTGTCAGTTATGGGGCTTGAACTTAGGGCCTGGGTTCTGTCCCTAAGCTTTTTTTTATTAAGGCTAGGGCTCTACCACTTTGACCCACAGTACCACTTCTGGTTTCCTGGTGGTTAATTGGAGATAAGAGTCTCAGGGACTTACCTACTCAGGCTGGCTTTGAACTGCAATCCTCAGATCTCAGCTTCCTGAGTAGCTAGAATTATAGGTGGGAGCTACCAGCACTGAGCTCAGTGTACATTTTTTTATTGTTGTTGTTGGTTGTGGGGCTTGAACTCTGGATCTGGGCGCTGTCCCTCAGCTCTTCAGTTCAAGACTAGTGCTCTACCACTTGACCCACAGTGCCACTTCCAGTCTTCTGGTAGTTTATTGGAGATTAAAAGTCTCACAGACTTTCCTGCTTGGGCTGGTTTTGAACCGTGATTCTCAGATCTCATCCTACTGAATAGGATTACAGGTGTGAGCCACCAGCACCTGGCAAATATACCACTGTACAGTTTTTTGTTTATTTGTTTTTTGCCAGTCCAGGAGCTTGAACTTAGGGCCTGGGCACTGTCCCTGAGCTTCTTTTGCTCAAGGGTAGCACTCTACCACTTGAGCCACAGCTCTATTTCTGGCTTTTTCTGTTTATGTGATACTGAGGAATCGAACCCAGAGTTTCATGCATGCTAGACAAACACTCTACCCCTGAGCCACATCCCCAGCACTCAGTATACATTTTTCATATGTCTGTTCTGTGTATCTCTGCAGGGGGTGAGAGTCACTGTGGTGGTGGGTGTTTCTCTGTGATGCTTTGTCAGTGTGCATTTTGGCCCAGAAGAAGGCAAGCTGAGACTTGGGGGTGGGGACCATGCTGAGGTAGAAAGCCCACAGCTAAGAGGACTGCTTGGGAAGAGACATATTCTCCCCCACCAAGAACGCATCCCATGCTCTCAAAGAGCCCCTGTCCAGTGTCACCACCCATGGTCAGTCAGGTGAGTGGCTAGAGTAGGGAGTTTGAGAGAACCAAAACAATCTCAGCCTGACTACCACATGCTTCTGGCACCAGAGCCCTGTGTTGGCTAGGCCCTGGGCCTGCCCCTCAGGCTACAGGCACTTGTGTTATGGGGGTTGGGCAGAAGCGCAAGAGACACTCATTTTGGCTGTTGAGATGAACTTCAGATTTTAGTGGGTCACCAAGGCAGAGCTGGCCCCAGGCCTTGTTGGGGTTTAAGCTTCAAGGAGAACTAGCGTGGTCTGAGTGGAATCCCACCACATATCATTGATGGAATATGTGCTATGTTCCTGCACTGCTTTCGAGGCTGAGAATACTGTAGTCTTCTCTCAGAATGAGGGCTGGGGAGGGCACACTTCTGCTGTACCATTTACAGACAAAGAATTTGAGAGATTTGCTGAGTACCAGTGGCCCATGCCTATAATCCTAACTACCCAAGAGGCTGAGGTCTCAGGATTGTGGTTTGAAGCCAGCCCAGGTAGGAAAGTCTATCAGACTCTTTTTTTGTGTAGTATTATTTTTCACTTTGTTTTTTGCTGGTCTTGGGGCTTGAACTCAGGGCCTGGGCATTGAGCTTTTGTGCTCAAGGCTAGTGCTTTACCACTTAAGCAATAGCTCTACTTCTGGTTTTTTGGTGGTTAATTGGAGATAAGAGTCTCTCGGACTTTTCTGCCCAAATCGGCTTCAAACCCTAATCCTCAGATCTCAGCCTCCTGAGTTACTACGATTACAGGCATGAGTTACTGGCACCCAGCTCCATGACACTTATTTCCAATTAATCTCCAAAAAAGCCAGAAGTGGAGTAGAGCTGTGGTTCAAGTGGTAGAGTGCTATCCTTAAGTGAAAAACCTAAAGGACAGCCCCCAGACCCTTGACTTCAAGCCCACCCCCCCAAAAAAGGAATTTGAGAGATTAAATGATTTGCCCAAAGTTATAGCAGAACTGAGATTCAAACCCAGGCCTGTCCCATGCTAGCCCTCCTCCCATGTTTTCCTCCCTCCTCCCCTGATGCTCCTAATTATCACCCTTGTGCTTCCTAAACCAGGATCAATCCAAGGGGGTGAGAGATGGGCAGACAGGTCTAGACCAGCTTCAGGCTATTGGCTCATGGGTATAGCACATGAAATGAGCTTACAGGAGTTCTGCAAGGAAAGTAGGCTACCTGGGGTAGGGCATGGAGGTCGGAAGTAGAAGTAGCACATTGTGTTGCCTTTCCTTCTCCTGGCACTGCTTGGACCCCAGTTTTCTCTGAGCCTCCACTTTTTCATCTATCATGTGGGCACCACCCCTGCTAGTGGTGCTGTGTTGATGAGCTGGTGTCTGGCACACAGTAGGGCCACAGGGGCTAGGGCGGAGCTGGAAGTGGGCAGGGCCTCCTCAGCCCCAGGAAACGGGCAGGGGGCGGGGAGAAGGAGGCGCAGATGTGTGCTTGTCTCACACGAACAGCCACATTTAGCCACCAAGTCGAGACTGAAATATTCCTGAGGGAGAAGAACCCTGAGGCTTCAGGGCGACAACGGCTCGTCAGTGGGGAGTGGGGAAGGGATGTTGTCACCATCTGCCTCGTGTCTGTCTGCGACTAAAATAATACTGGGGTGAGACTCGCCGCAGGCACGGGCCCAGCCACAAGGTTCCCCAGAAGCAGGAGGGGCTGGGGGGGGTTGCTGGAAACCTTGTTGGGGAGCAGTGGTGGGAAGGGACCTTTAGGGACAACCCTGACTACAAGAACCCATGGGGGATGCAGAGGTCTGGATACTTTGTGGGAGGGATCAGCCTCAAATGTGGGGCCAGAGGATCCCCAGATCCATCTGGGGTCTGTTCCAGGGGGAGACAGGCATGTACCCAGGTCCTAGCAAAACAGGAGCTCCAGAAAAACAAGTGAGAGACGCAGACCAGTTGCCTGGTTCCGCTTCCATGAACGTTCCAGAATACCGAAACCAGAAAACGTAGCAAGGAGCTATTTTAATTTCAGCCGACGTGTAAGTTTTGGATGCATGGTTTACTGTGGTTTTTATTTTGAAGCAAAAATGGAGGAGATTCTGCAATCTCCTCAGGGCTCAGGGCTCTGGGGACTGAGTGGCTGCCTTTCCCCACTGGCATGGAAGTCACGTGCCAGTGGTTGCTCAGTGTTGCTACCCCTGGGCTCAGGCAGGTGATCCTGTAGGTTGGGAATGTGGCTGGAGCCTGAAGCTTGGCTTCTGCAAAACAAAAAGAGAAAGGGGAAAGAAAAAGAGAACACTGAAAGAAAAAGAAACCACTGATCGGATGGATCTGTTCTTGCCAAAACAAAAATGCCCACCTGGTTATAGCTGCTTAAACAAAAGATCCGAACATGGCTGCTTACCCCATGTGGGTGGGTGGGTTTTTTGTTTGAGAGAGCATCTTGCTGTGTAGTCCAGACTGGCCTTGAACTCAAGATCCTCCTTCTGGCTGGACAACTGTGGCTGAGATCTGAGGATCATAGTTCAAAGCCAGCCCAGGAAAGAAAGTCCTTGAGACTCTTATCTCCAATTAGTCACCAAAAACCAGATGTGGAACTGTGGCTCAGAGTGATAGAGCACTATGCTTGAGCAAAAAAGCTCATAGACTGCACAAGCCCTGAGTTCAAGCCCCAGGATTTTCAGGGAAATGGATGGATCTAGAACAAATCATGGTAAGTGAGGTGAATTTGGCTCAGAAAGACAAAGGGCTCATGTTTTCTCTCATATGTGAAACCTAGATCTAAAATATAACTAAACATGGAAATATATATGGGGGCTCTATGCATTGTACAAGCTGACTAAAAGAGGGTATATGTATGTAAGGGAGGAATCCAAAGGTTTAATTCCTCTGAACATCTAAAGTACTATTTATGGAAAGGAATTCCAAGAAATGGAAACATGCTTTTTTCTTTTTTTGTTTTGCCTTTATGGGGGGTGGGAAAGGGGAGGCTCAGGGATGGAGAGAAGAAAAGTGAGCAAATGCAGTCATTGTATTTAATATACATGCTGTAAAAAACTGAACTATGTGCTGGGCGCTGCTGGCTCATGGCTGTAATCCTAGCTACTCAGGAGACTGAGATCTGAGGATTACAATTTGAAGCCAGCTCAGTCAGGTAGGAGAGTCCATGAGACTCTTTTTTTTTTTTTTGCTAGGTTGTGGGTCTTGAACTCTGGGCCTGGGTGCTGTCCCTCAGCTCTTCAGCCCAAGGTAAGGGCTCTACCACTTGAGCTACAGCACCACTTCCAGTTTTTCCAGTGGTTAATTGGAGATAAGCGTCTCATGGACTTTCCTGCCTGAGCTGGCTTTAAACCGTGATTCTCAGATCTCAGCCTCCTGAGTAGCTAGGATTATAGGTATAAGCCACGGACACCCAGATCTATGAGACTCAACTCAAATTAACCACCAGAAAATCAGAAGTGGCGTTGTGGCTCAAAGTGGTAGAGTGCTAGCCTTGAGCAAAAGAGCTCAGGGGACAGCACCTAGGCCCTAAGTTCAAGCCCCAGGACTGACACCAAAATAAATAAATAAACAAATAAATAACTGTGTAACTGTGGGTAGGGATAGGTGGAGGAAAATGGAGAAACTGAAGAAATAGTTGACATTGTATGTATATCCTGACTTAAAAATTGTAACCTCTTTGTACAAATAATAGCAATTTTAAAAAAAGATCAGGGGCTGGGAAGGTGGCTCAGTGGTAGAGTGCTTGCTTTGCATGCATGAGGCTCTGGGTTCAATTCTTCAGCACCACATAAGCAGGAAAAATCCAGAAGTGGAGCTGTGGTTAAAGTGGTAGAGCTCTAGCCTTGAGCTAAAGAGCTGAGGGACAGTGCCCAGGCCCAGAGATCAGGCTCATGACTGACCAAAAAAGAAAAAAGATCCTCATTTGGAATCCTCTTCAGGAATTACAAAAATATGCTATCATGTTCAACCTAAATTTTCTTTTCTTATTTCTTTCTTTTCTCTCTCTCTTCCTCCCTCCCTCCCCCTCCCCTTCTCTCTCTTTCAGTGTTAGGGATCAAATACAAGGCCTTGTATATGCTGAGCACACACACCCCATCACTGAGCAACATCTCCAGTCTAATCTAATAGAACCATATGAACAAGGGCTTTTGGGGGTCCTCAATAATCACTAAGTGTGTAAAGGAGATCCAAGAACCAGGAGGTTGACAACAGCTAGCTGGTCTGTGCTTACTAAGGGAAGCATGGAGTAAGTATGGGTCAGGGCAGTGACCCAAAGGGCTACCAGAGTGAGTTCCTTGAAAGAGATCCCCATCTCAAGGTCTTGAAGTCTGGATGAGCACTGCGAGCAAGGAGGGCTTGGAGCAGAGCAGAGCCACATATTTCAGGATGTGGAGAGGGGAGAGGGTGTTCCTGCAGAGGCTTCTAGGATTCCCTGACTTCCCTCTGCTGCCCTTGTATGGGTGGTAAGTGGGTGTGGGGGAGGGAGGCCCCAAACACACCCCAGACTTATTACACATAGAACTGAGATGGGCCTGGGAGCCCCTGCCCTCCCCAGACGGCTTCCATCATCCCCCAACCTCCACCCTTGAAAAGGATTGGCCTTAAAATTCTCCTCACCAGGCATGCAGCAGACAATACAGAGGGGACATTATGCACTGAGAAAGAGGCCTCGTTGTTGGCGCGGTGGAGACAGCAGCGCTCTGTTCTGGTCAGGCTAGGGGCTGTTCATGCGCTCAAGCCCAGACCCCTTGCACCAAGAGTCATGTCCTGTGCACGTTTACACACCTGCCCTGGGATATGCCTTGTGCACCTCTTGCGGTAAGCACTGAGATATGCCTCACTCAGCTCCCACCTTTATGCAAGTCCCCACCCATTATGCATACCCCTGCCCATTGCTACTTGCCCAGGGCCTCACTGCAGCCCCACAAACACCCCTGAACTGAGCCAAGGCACAGGAGTGCCACCTGGGATTCATAGGGGGTCCTGGTGGGGGGTAGGGAAAGGGAGGACATCAGGCAGCCACACTGGGGGCACTGATACTGAGAACAAATGCCCTGCCTACCCCACCCTGCACCACCCAGCTGGGATCACAGGGCACTGGAACCAGCAGCCGCTTAGGCTAGGCCAGACGTGCCTGGACCCACAGAGGGACACAAAGGCAGCCTTGTTGCTTTGCCAAACACTTCCAGCTCTGGAGTGGGAGGGAGGGATCTGGGCACTGGAGCTCCTACCCTCAGCTTCTGGGCTGGCCAGGAGCAAGGCTGGACTTTAACCTCTTAGGCCACTACTGGGCTTCAGAGGACATTGCTAACCTTCCAATGAAACCTGCGTAAAGAAGGCTCCCAGGCCCAGAGCCACTGCTCCATCAGGTCTCTGTGATCCTCACTAGGCAAGTAAGGCAGGCTTTCTCTCCCACATCTGTGCAGGCCCATCTGTCTGTGTGTCTGGAACTCTCTGCCCTCTCTGGGCTGGAGATTTTCTTTTTCCTCTAGGACATTGTTCAGAGAGCCCTCCCCTGAAAAGCCCTTCTAGCCTTTGGCAGGCAGGTGCTTCTCTGTACATCCCACAAACTGGGAGCTTTGGGACCTCCTCATAGGAGGCACAGGGGGCCCAGGTACTGCCAGAGAATGGATACTGGCCAAGCTGGTCAGTATCAGAGGCCTGACAAGCCCCAAGACCAAACCATTGTAGAGGTGGAAAGGGGTAGGGCCAACTTACCTGCCATTCATAAGCCAAAGTAATCTGAGCCACTCAAAACAGTCCTAGCCAGGCACCAGTGGCTCTTGCCTATAATCCTAGCTACTCAGGAGGCTGAGATCTGAGGATCAGGGTTCAAAGTCAGCCTAGGCAGGATAGTCCGTGAAACTCTAATCTCCAATTAACCACCAGAAAACTGGAAGTAGCATTGTGACTCAAGTGGTAGAATACTTGCCTCAAGATGAAGAGCTGAGGGACAGTGCCCAGGCCCAGAGTTCATGCCCCACGGCTGAAAAAAAAAGTAGTCCATAGTTACCCCATGGGGGAAGCTCCTTGGAGGAACCTCCTTTCTCATACCCAGATCTTTGTTCTCTTCCTGGGACACATCTGCTTGACAAATCTTATTTATCCAAGTGGTAGCTGGGTTGTTGGGGTTTTTTGTTTTTGTTTTTGTGTTACTTTGGGTTTTTTTTTTTTTAAGTAGCTGGGTTTTTTGTTATCGTTGTTTGTTTTTGTCCATCATGAGGCTTGAACTTCAGGTGCTGTTCCTGAGCTCTTGCTCAAGGCTCACATTCTACCACTTTGAGCCACATACCACCTCTGGTTTTCTGGTGGCTAATTGGTAAATAAGAGTCTCATGGATTTTCCTGCCTGGGCTGGCTTTAAATCATGATCCTCAGATCTCAGCTTCCTGAATAGCTAGGATTACAGGTATGAGCCACCAGTGCCTAGCTAGGAAGCTGGGTTTTTAAGAATATTTTTATATTATTTATCCATTCATTTGCTCATTTATATTGGGCTGGTACTGGGGCTTGAACTCAGGGACTTGTGCTTTTACTTGGCTCTTTTGCTCAAAGGTGGCACTCTACCACTTCAGCCATATCTCCACTTCTAGTTTGTTTGTTTGTTTTCCGGTTGTGGGTCCTGAACTCTGGGCCTGGGTGCTGTCCCTCAGCTCTTCAGCTCAAGGCTAGCGCTCTACCACTTGACCCACAGTGCCACTTCTGGCTTTTTCTGCTTATGTGTTGCTGAGTCGTCATACCCAGGGCCTCATGCATACAAGGCAAGCACTCTACCACTGAGCTATCTTTCCAGCCCCACTTCTAGCTTTTTGCTGGTTAATTGAAGGTAAGATTCTCCTGAACTTTTCTAACAGGGCTGGCTTTTAACCTCTATCTTCAGATCTGAGCTAGCAGTGCCAAACTGCTTAGTTTTTTGTTTTTGTTGTTGTTGTTGTTGTTTTTTGGTCATGGGACTTGAACTCTAGGCCTGGCCGCTGTCCCTCAGCTCTTCAGCTCAAGGCAAGTGCACTACCACTTGAGCTATAGCGCCACTTCCGGTTTTCTGGTGGTTTATTGGAGATAGGAGTCTCAGGGTCTTTCCTGCCCTGGCTGGCTTTGAACCTCGATCCTCAGATGTCAGCCTCCTGAGTAGCTAGGATTACAGGCGTGAGCCACAGGTGCCCAGCTCCAACTGTTTACTTTGTATAGCTTCCATCCAGTGTTTCCAAACTGCCATTCAGACCCCAGCCAAAGGTTGAAGGGGTCACTCATACCCA